TTTGAATCTTGCAAAAAAAACTGACCTTCAATAATTTAATACTCTAATGGAAAATAATATATTTTTACAGCATGTCGAACGGTTTATTCATATTACTGTGTGACTATGGTGTAGAATAATTTTTTTTAATAATCTATTAATCCGTTCATGCTGACTTTCATATTTTGACGACACCTACAGTTAAAGACCTGCAGCTTTCAGTATATTAAAGAGAATAACTTCGGATGTCTTTATGTATCATGTAATGTAAGAAGAAATGATTCTGAAACTCATGATCTTATGAAAACATTTCAAAAAAATGCATCAGTATGATGCTTCTTTTCAAAAACGTTCTATATATAATTTAATTAAATAGGTGTACAATTTTGTTTACTCAACGGTGAGATATGACAAGATAATTATCTGAATCGTACCTGAAACTATAAGGCTGAAACACCTGTCAAAATCAAAATTATATTGAAATGAAACATCATTTTCATGCATTTTTTGTTGAGTAATTTGTGAAGATGATAAGTTTTCAAATAAAAAGGCGCTCGAAAGCTTCTCCTTCCGATTGCTGAAAGTCGCAGATCATTAATTTCTGTCATCATCAATTTATTGAGATTACGCCTATTCCTTTTTAAAACTGACATTGACATCAGTTTGACTTACATTAGCAAGACAACATTTATTTGTGAATGAGAGCTAGATTGCAAATCCGTGTTTGAGTATTAAATTTGCATACAAACTTTGATTACTTCTTTATTTAATATACTATAATAGTTATCATTCATGTAAGAACTTTTCTTGACAATTGCATTTGTCATAGAATTTCGTGAAAAATGAACTTTGATGCAATATAATATATACTGATAATATTAATCGGTTTGATTCAATCTTTTTCATCATTTTTACTAAATTAACAAATGTCAATTTGATTCCTAAGTAAGTCAGAATAAGCGGAATCATACTTAATTTCTTGCAAGTTGATCAATTCAATGTCATTCCATCTTTTCTGACTTAATAATTAAATTGACATTTGACAAATAAGTATAGAACTAATGGAGAAGATTTGATAAAGTCAATCGATATTAATAGTATATGTTACATTGAATCAAAATTCATTTTTCACGAAATTCTACGACAAACTCATCTTGTTAAAAAAGAATTTCTTATGTAAATGATAACAAATGTCAATACTGATAGTTAGTATATTGATATTGATACATTTATTCGTGTAATATTTTTCTTCCATGCAAAATTATTACATGAACATGCATCGATTACCTTTGAGTCGCGATGATCTTTGTTTATATTTTCAACAACAGATGTACAGGGTCGGAAAGAATATTATTCAAGGGGGGTAACGATATAATCCCGAATAGGAGGTATGATGAATTTTATACCAAATGAAAGCCCGTGAAAAATGGGGTTTATTGATGCTAAATAGTAAGGGTTATGTAAACCTTTTAATATCGCACTTAAGAAACTTTCAGAAATTTTATCCATTTTTGGAGGTGGAAAAGGAAAGTGCTAGTAATGCAAAAATGGAGTAAAATATTTTTCTCGGATATTTTTACATGGTTCGATAGAGCTCGTCGAGCTCTACAAAACTGTATATACTAAAAATTTTTTAAGCTATTTTTTTGTGATAAAAAATTTTAAAAACTGTTTTGAAAATCTTAAAAAACGTTAAAAAAACTGATATTTTTGATATGCAGGAAAAACGCTCGATTTTGCAATAAAATTAGCTTTTTTGATCATTTTTACTCCCACTAGGCGTTTCGAAATATACTCATTCGATGCAGCGTGAAAAACTGCACCGAATGAATATATTTTTAAACATATTATATAAGGGTACTAATGGAAAACAACTGAATTTATTGTAAAAAAGACCACTTTTTTCTCCTATAAAAACTGTAGAAAATGCCGATTTTTGGGTACTTTCTTTAGACAGTTTTCAGTGAATTTCAACCCAAGAATCCTGTTTAAAGATTTTTAGTATATACAGTTTTGTAGAGCTCGACGAGCTCTATCGAACCATGTAAAAATATCCGAGAAAAATATTTTACTCCATTTTTGCATTACTAGCACTTTCCTTTTCCACCTCCAAAAATGGATAAAATTTCTGAAAGTTTCTTAAGTTCGATATTAAAAGGTTTACATAACCCTTACTATTTAGCATCAATAAACCCCATTTTTCACGGGCTTTCATTTGGTATAAAATTCATCATACCTCCTATTCGGGATTATATCGTTACCCCCCTTGAATAATATTCTTTCCGACCCTGTACATACCGATGAAGTAAATAATGCTATTGAAGGATATTTCTGTGGATCAGGTAGCAATTCACTTGATCATTATCTAGATAATATAAACTCTATAATATTTATTTACATAGATGTATTCAACTTAGTATTATTATATTAACATCAATACAAGCAACTGGATACAGAATATTTTCCCCTATCGTTAATACTAATAGAAAAGAAAAGAATTAGTAGATCATGAGCTTCAAAATAAAAACGATTCCATATTTTCTAACTTTTATAGCTTTTTTTTATCATAGTAGGCAATCATTGACACTAACACCAAGAATGAAACCTCGGAAATAAGAGTCTAAATACATTGTTTACGCTTTTATATCTTTATCTATTGTCATACGAGGCAATGATCAACAAAAGCATTGATAATGGAAAGAATTTATCAAGTAAACAAATGGGATTGTAGATCCTAATGCAATAGAAAATGATGAGATGTCAATATTAGATTCAACTATAAAACTTCATCATGAAATAATTAAGTAAAAAAATCATAAGTTTTCATTAACGCTGAATTTTCTGTTATGAAATAAGACTCATATAATCATTGCATAAAATGAACAAAGAGACATTTCAAAAAAGTATTTTTTTGTTCTAATCATTATTCAATATGTTCTCTTTCAAACCTTAATATGTATTCATTCATTATTAAACGATAATAATTCAGAAACATAAAGATCTGAGAAAATTTTATTATAAATGTCATTCGTTAAGTTAATTAGAAATTTAGAGATGGATAATAGAGAAAAACAAGTGTTGTCTGTGTCCATGTCCCTAAAAATAGATGGTAACTCTCCCGGACTTTTAAATTATCACTTCGAAAGAGAAAGTCTGAATAAAACTTATCTGTACATAAAATAATTAACAATATATATTTAGTAATAACGTTATAGATATCGTCAAATCATTATCAAATGCAGTACTAGTCAAAAATATAAGGCTAACGTATACATTTCGTACCGACGTTTGATTGAGGAATTATGAGAGAATAGTTTCTGAAAAAATAAACATGGTAGTTATTAGATTTCATAGGATTACGTGAAAATTAGTTTGGAAAGAATACCATCTTAACTTCCGAGTCGTATTCTAATTTTCTCATACAAAGAATGTTTTGTGAGTCCAATCAGACGCATGTGTAAATGAGTCGAAAATCTTTATAATGAACTTTTCAGTCACGGAAACGTCGTTATATCTCCTGACTTTTGAAAACTTGAGAGGTTCAAACATATACTTGTCTAAGAGATTATAATAGCCGTATGATGTTAAATTATCATCGAAGAAACTAGAGCTAGAGATATAATTACAGAACAAGTAAATGATGTTACATGTGCCGATTTCTTTCGTTAATTTTTATGCTCTACAACAATTAAAATACAATAAAACCAACATGACGATTGGTTTTATTTTCTTGTGATACTTATTCACGAAGGTATTAACGTGGCAGGAAAAGAAAAACGGCATTGTGAGTCTAGTTGGACGAATAAAAAGTGTTCGAGAGTTAAAGAAAATAAAATCCTGAATCAAATAAGAGGTTGCCGTACTTCCTACTATGTTTTCTTCAAAAATTACAAGCATAACAAAAAAATACACTTTTTAAGCAATGCTATGATCACTTTCTCTTCATGATGCTGATAACTTATGAAGAGAAAGCCGTATAAAATACTATGATTTCTCATTTTATTCAGGACTTTGTGTTCTTTAAGATGGTACTTTTTTACAAGTAAATTTCACTCTATCTTCTAGAACCTGAAAACCGCTGCGTCAGATTTTTCAGAAGTTTTCCTCTCAAAACCCATCAATCAAATTTCGGTATGGAATTCATTTGATGGAAAACTCCATTGACTGTTTAAAACACATGCTATTAATTAGGTCGAAAGAAAAAATAGTGAAAAAAAGTTTATTTTAAAGATTTTCGACCAGCAAGATGAAGACATTTTATTGCACGCAAATCAAGTGAAAGACATATAAGTACACCAATAAGGCATTATAGTGCATGGAAAAAATTCAAGAACAAAATTAACGACAAGACAATGCATTTCTTTATGTGAATAAGTATGGGCGTCTGTGTAGAGTATGCATACAGGTATCAGTCTTCGTTTTACATCTTTGTCTTAACAGAATCATTTAATGACATGCGAAATATTTTCGACATTTTTTTTACTATTTTTCATTTTGACCAAATCGATACATATTGTTTAAACCATTAGTTACATTTGAATCAAAGGCATGGTATCCTAGCGAAAAAAAGTAAAAAATTCATTGGTGTGACATTTTTGACCAGTACTGTGTATAACTGTTAAATAAATAAAATAGAAAACTTTTCTTGGAGGATATATTATTCTTATATAAAGATAAAATTTCCAAGTTGTTGTCCGTTTTTATTTACATATTGTGATTGACATAAAAGAAGAAAAATAGTAACAATAAAGACATTCAATATTTTAGCTGCAAGATATTGATACATATAATCATTAGTATCTTTTTCTTTGATATTTTACCAACCAGTTTCTTTCATATGATAAGTTATTAAACGGTGGGTGTGTATCTTGTTTTTAGGCACGCTCACCGCTACAACAACACCCGCACCCACCACCCTATTGAGAGTAAGAGAGAGAGAGAAAATGCAGAGATTTGATTGTTTATTATTAAATGTAAGTTAGTTGTTTTAGGTTTCATAAAAGTGTCTCTTATAGATAACTTCAATTGAAAGATTGATAACGTTGATGATTTTGACGAGAACATTTTCGAACTAATATCATAAAAGATAATGTAACAAATATACCAATAACAAAAGAAATTGTAATTATGATTCCACCAAACTTCCAATTCATACTCCAATTAGATTTCTTTTCTAAATGTGTTGCTAAATAATCATATGCTTCATCGTACCATTGTAAACCAACATCTGAATTATAGAGCATATTATTGATTAAACGAGAATAATAAAGATAAGCCAAATCCGTTTTTTTAAGTGAAGAATATGCTCTTGCTAATCCAAGAAGTGTCAATGTTCTATTAGGAAAATATGTCATAACATTTAAAAATTCATCGATTGCCTTTTCATATTGTTGTTGTTCTAGAAGTAATTCACCATAAAGTTCTTGACTAGGTTTAACAGGATCAATTGGAGGACCATAAGTTGGTGGATTTACAGATAATTCAAGTTCAGTTGCTTTCTTAGCATAATTCAATGCAATATTTTTTTCCTTCTGTGTTATAGCAATTCTGTAATATTCATGAAACGCTTGTAATTGTAATTTCATAGCTAGTATCGAAATGGAAAGTGTAGGAAATGTTTTATTTAATTTTATTGACATATCTGCTAATTGTTGAATATATCCTTCGACTATAATTAATTTATATTCTTTATCATTTTTAACTGTAGAAAATCCCTTCACAAGTAACAATCCAGAATTAATTTGATTCAGCCAAAGTATATCACCTAGTGTTATACATTCCGAACATACAATTAAATCAAATGGATTATTAAATGTAAAAGTATAGTCTTGTGTTTCTACAATATGTCGATCATACATAATACCGTATTGCATTCGATAATAAGTGTCAGTACTGAATAACATCTTGATACTTTCTAAAATTTCTAAAGCAATTGATTGTCTTCCCATATTTAAATATGCATAATGCATAAATTCAATACTATGATACTCTCGTTCAGAATTGACCCCATTATTTATTCCAACTTCATCTGATTCCAAATTTCCAATTAATGTTTCTTTATATAATCCTAATCGAAGATAAATATGTGTTGGCATATGTTGAGCATGTGGTGAACTTGGTGCTATACGAGAGTATTGTATTGCATTTGGTAGAGCAAATAAAGCACTTTTTGGTTCATCATAAACATGAATAGAATAATGTAATGCACCTGGATGATTTGGATTATTTTTTAAGATCGTTTTTAAAATATCTATTTGTAATTGACGATCATTTGGATTGCGATTTAAATAACCACGAATTTCTGGTTGAGTTTTTGCAAATAAAATACAAACTAAAAATAAAGCTGCTTCATTATCTGTTGGAAATAATTGATATATTTGTTTTAAAACATTAATATAATCATCGTAATGTATATTTCCTTGATTAAAGAATTTTCTTACAGCTGTAACATAGAGTTGTTCTCTTTGTGTTAAGTTTTCAAAAGAAATTTTTGAATTCATTAATTTTATTTGTTTCCAACTTTCTGTAGGATTTTCATTTAACCATACAGGTTTTGAATAAGTTAAAGATGAAAATGCATAGGCCATAGCAAATTCTGAATCAATAGTATAAGCTTGTTTAAATTGTTCAAATGCAAATGAATACAAAAAATTATGCAGAAAAGCAAGACCTAAAATAAAATGTTCTTGTGCTAAACTATTATTTGTACTTGTTGGAAAATGAATATATTGTTGACCAAGTGATGGTTGAAATTCATAGCATGAACTTTTTGTTATTGTTAATAATAACATCAGAGACACTATCATTAAATTTTTAATTAATTTTTTATCCGTTTGAATGTCTATTCGTTGTCCTGTGCACATTGATTTAATGTATTCTATGCAACAATTATTGATTAGTCTATGAATTTCATCTGAAAAAGTCTTATAAGAATGATAAAGAATCTTTAACCCTCCCGATAATCTGCTAGCTATTGTCAGCCTTCCGATGTATTCGATCCTCATCTTAACTGTTAAAATAACTACACATCTGTTCATTCTGTATTAATGCGTGTATGAGGTGAGTGCAGTCTAATCGTTTGTCTATCTGTTGTGTTTCAGGATAACGTCTCTTTCACCGATTGTTCGAACATATTCTTCAGAAATTAGTGTTTGTTTATACATGATTATTAACTTAGAACATTAGTTAGATCCTAATCTCTCTATCTAAGATAGATAATACACATTTGTACCACGATCTCTTTCGTAAATACTAAAAGAATGGTTCAAACTACCTAAAAAAAATGTTGAAAACTAAAGCTTTTTCCCTATCAGATCACTTGATTATTTATCTGTTAAACAAATCTTTTTTCTCTACGAAAAGTTGTTTGAAGCTTGATCTGTCTCTTGCTTTGTCAGAGCTCACACTATGTTTTCATACAATGAATCGACTGAATTACATTGCATTATTTTGTCCTCAAGTTACGTCATGTCAGGTGACTTCAACTTATCTTTTTTATAACTGACACAACATTTCGAACCTGTTCCACATTTGATAGTGATCCTACAAAAAGCACAAAAAATACATTTTAAACATCTCTACTTACATCGTTCATCTTTGTTTACTATCTTTTGATTTTGATATGAAACTGAACAAAGACAAAAGTCAAGTCTCAGTTAAACGATATCTTATTCCATTCGAAAACATCAAGTAACATTCAAGTAGCAATTGCGAGCAGTGTATGTTTGTCGGATACTAATGAAATACTGGTTGTTATCTACGAAAAGCAGATAAAAATTGTTTGCGTTCTCTTTTGCTAGTCTTTCACACATAATCAGAAGACAAAGATCAAAGCTGTTGTTGATGTTGCACAATATTTCGTCGTACTTTCTCAATAAGCTTCAAGTGTGGATGTAGATTTTAATCATTATCTTCTCCACGCCGGCACTTACACTATTTGTAGCTTTTCTCGTTCATTTAAATATGCTTGAAATGTTGGACAATATCTTAAAGTACAAATTAACATAATATTTTTTCTTTTAATATTTGAAAACTCAAGAACTTATTTATTCGAAAGATATCTTTGAAAATGTTTTAAATCGACTTAAAAATGATACAAAAATAACGCGGAACAATTTCTATCCAACTTTGTTCTAGTAAAACTACAAGCGCTAAAATTGATTATCGTCCAGATATAGTGATGTTTCAACAAAAAAATCAACACAAGAAATTCTTAATTAATAGTCGGCTAACCTTACTTCACAAAACATGTCATTTGATTATTGAAGAAGAAACAATTCATGGTATATGATTATAAATAAAACAGAAAAAACAATCAAGCCTTTTTAAGAAATAAATATATCATGTTATACTAATCTTTGCAGTTCATCTTTTTTTATTGATCTTTCTTTTGTTTTTTTTTAATCTTGTTCTATATCTTTGCAAAAAAAAAGAGAAACCTGATGAATAAACTAAACCTGTCGTCACCGAATGATGATATGTTTTTTATTATGATGTTTTGTGGGTTTATTAACATTATATCATAAGCTGATGAAATTTTTACGGGAAAAGGTCAATTTATTTAAATATATTTATAGAGAAGATTAAGTTTGTATCAGTGTTTTATATAAGTCGTAGACCAGAGTGAATAGCTGAAGGGGTAGAATGTTTTTTATTGATGAAGAGTCAACAAATATCACAAACATTGAAGTTGCTTTCTTTTTTTCAAGTTATCATGATTATGGTTATACTCGAAGGCTGATCGAAAAATAGAGATGGTCATAATGATAGTCGCAAATTGAACATCTTGCGTTCGAATATAACTTGGTTCTTCAGTTAGATTTGATTGAAAAGAAATAAGCTGTATGAAAGCCTTGTTAGAATTGAACTGTTGAACTTGCTGAATATCCATGGTAATCTGTCAGTCGATTCGTCCAACGCATATCCATTGCGTTATTCAGTCTGCAGTATTATTACAAATTGTTGAATTAGTGTTTTATCCAGCATGAAGTCGGGGCAGTAGGCGTGATAATTTCAGTTTTGAATAGTTTTTCCTAACGAGACAACCTAAGTAAATTACCGATTTGTATCTATCCCATGTAATAAAATCATCAATTAAGTTCAGCACAATGTTTGCAGGATATAATCAATTAAATTTTCTCGAATATGCAAATGAAAATTTCACTAATTGTTCTATTCTACTTTGGTAATTCTGTTATCACAGATAAATAGTTTGTTTCAACAATCTTCAATCAAAGCCAACTTAGCTGTCAATGGCAAAGATGTTTTTGAATTATCTAATGGTTCAGCATCAACAGGTGTGGCTGCTGCTTGAGCTTTTAATTATTCTTTGAAATATATAGCAAATAGTTCAGGTACGATACAATGTGAAATTGAATTTCAATATAATTAATTTTTATTTTCGATAGTTTATTGGTCTGGAAACAATATTCGAATATCTAATTCAACATTATTTTCAATAACTAAACCAATTCGAATTGTTGCTAATGATTTATATGGTTGGTATGGAAATTCATGTACATTTAGTTATTCAGCTGCTTTTTGGAATTTTTCCAGATAAAAATTCTACTTTGTTGTTTTTCAAATAACTTTTTTTTTCTCTCGTTTAAAGATGGGAAAAATAAATCGATTGTATAGCTTTGAATAGTATTAATTTAGTCTATGCAGCAACTGGAATGGAATATATCTATAATAAAGTCTAGATTTTAAATTTACATTGGAAATATTGTTTTAGTTTTTTTTTCTTTTAGATATTTCTGCGAATGGGTTTTTCTCAATTTGAACTTAATGATTATTTTACTGGTTCTGCTTTTTTAGCTTGGTAAGAATATTTCATGCATGTATGAATAGAGAAAGTATTTCATTTAAATTTACAACTAAAGAAAGGCTTCGCATGGATAATCTTCAAAAACATGCTGCTCCTTTATCAAACAGTTGGCATCAATTACAATTTCAACTTGTAAAACAGACTATTCAACGAATGACAGATATTGGAATTACACCAGTATTACCTACTTTCACTGGCTTTATGTCTTGAACAGCACCGTTGTAAGTAGGAAACAATGATTGATGATTATCAGTAATTCTATTTGGATATTAACGTTAAAAATGAATTTGATATTCTTATTAATCAAGAGAAAAATTTAATTTCATTATATTTTTACACGTTTTCCTTCAGCAAAATTTCATTATTCATCATATTGGGTTGGTTTTGATTGCAATGAATCTTGATTTGTCTTCTAATCTCCTAGAATAATTCTGATTAATGAAAAAAAAACAAACAATATATGTTTTAGTTTACCACATCTTGATCCTACAGATCCATTTTTTCAAAAAGTTGGAGTCGAATTATTAAACAAAGTATATCAATTAGACAAGATAAAGAAAAAAGATTCATCGTTTTTTTTTCAAAAAGCTGATAATGACTGACTAAACCAACTGAGATTATTGAATACTTCCTCGGACAAAGAAAAGTATCAATGATATGATAAGTTCACTTTTCGAATTCTTCTCACATATCACTTAGTATTTGTTTAAAAGAAAAAAAAAATTCTAGAAATGGTCAAATTCTACTATGAAATCTTTCATAGTTCATCATTTTATAGCGAAACAGAATAGTAGTTAAATAACTCAAACTGACGATTTAATATATGTCGATAATAATATTAATTCTGAAATATCTTATAAATAGACAATTAATTTGCTCAATTTAATTTCTCATTATTATGCTTGTGATCTATTTAATGAAATGACACCACCGATTAGGTAAAGTTTATCTTTATCAATATTGATATTAATTTTACAGTTTCATTTAGTGATCTTGAGTATTTGACTGATGTTAATGTAGGTATATTTCAAATTATGCAAACAGTTGATTCAAAAGCTGTTTGGTAGAATTATTTTATTTTTAATAATATTTTTATTTAGCCTTTATTTATGATAAAGGGTAATGCAAGCTTGTTTATTTCTTTCAAGTTTTTGGACAATTGATCGTGTAAGAAATTATCTTAGTAAAGTTCCAATAGTAAGAATTGTCTTTTTTTCCGTTAAAAATAAATCAATATATATATATAACTTGAAATCAGGGTCGTTTAATTCTTCTCGATTTATATTCTGAAACTCTTCCACAATATTTACTTTTTGAATCGTTTTATGGACATTATTATATATGATACATGTCACATGATTTTGGTGGAAATAATTATCTCTTCGGTTCACTTTTTAGTGTTACTAATGTAAATAAAATTTGTTTTGATTTAATTCACAAACTGCATGAAAATTTTCCGGTGATCATATGATTGGAGTTTCAAATATTTTGAATGAACGTTTATTTCTTGAAGCTGAATTACCACTTTTTATGTTGGATATTAAAAAATATACAACTAATACACAAGGTAAATTCTTTTTGCTTTTCATTAATAGGTGATTCAATTATGATTGTTCGTCAATTATTTAATAAATATCATTCATCTTTAAATGATATTTATTTGAAAGAAAAAGCTACAAGAAAGATATTTCCATTTAAATATCGTTCCGATTAAAATATTGTTGATGGAAATTAGAATTTTTCGAACTGTGAATCGACATAAAAAGACTTCTTTTGGTTATCGTATTTTTCTTTATTGTCATCAAAAAAATACTTCTGACATGGCATCGCTATATAAGTTGATTTTTACGATTTGTTCTTTTTTTTTAAATTATTCACATAGATTATAGAAGAGAAAAACAAAATAAAGATATCGAAAGATTTTAATCAACTCATTTTTTAAAGCTTATTAAAGATTAGGCAATATAGACATGCAGCATTTTTTTTAAATTGAATCAGTGTGTCCAATATTAGGCTTTAACTTTTCATTTCATATAAATTATATCTAGTCAATTATCATCTAACTATTCAGAAGAAAAAAGTTCAAACACAGATATGTATGAAAACCTACCACCTTGACAGCATCATATATTGACAAGTTTTCACTTAATGCTAATCATATTCTAGATTGAGATTTCTGAAACTTACATTGTTCATCTATGCAAAGCTCAGTTCTTCATTTGGAAATCTAGGCTCTTGTGAAACTGAAAAAAAACACACAGAATGTGCAATACTAGAATGTTTTGTGCTTTTAATTTCAACTAAAAGCAGTAGAAATCTCTCTTTTTTATTTTGTTGCTGCAACAATTAGTATCATTGTAGTACACTTTATAGCTATCTAAAAGCATAGCTTAACTTTCGTAGAATTGTTAGTATCACTGACAGTTTGATCAATCATATCTCCCATTCGACTACGTGACAGAATTCACTCTCTGATTAACTCATTTCAGTAATATCGATTTCGTCGACTGATGTACAATGTCGATAGGTCATTAAACAAATTCTAGATAAGTGTGAGAAATTTCAGTATATTCACTTGTTCGTGAATACAAATGTAAATGTCTCTTTTCTTTAGTCAGCATAAACAAAATACTCTATATTGTACATAGTTGTGGAAATTATTCATTTCGTTTGCTTGAACTATTATGAGGAAACATAAACCATGGAGGAAAATAATGTTCTTTGACACATTTCTGAAATGGAACCGGATAGTTGAGATCATGTATAACATTGCCACCAGCAAACCATGCTGCCCACCAACTATACGTTCCTCCTGTGAGAATTGAATGTTCACACAGAGCTAATGCCGCCAAATCATGACCATGAAAAAAATTTGGTGGCGTAATAACAACATCATTGAAGTGGCCAAGGTGTTGTTTAACGAAAGTCTTATCATCAGAAGCAATCAAAAAACGACAATTCGTGTATTTTTGACGATAATGGTTCATGGCCCAAATGAGATATGAAGGACTTGTATCAATTTTAAAGAAGCTCAAAAAGTCACCACGACGAATATGTACCCCTATCCATGTGACACGTGGCAAATTATTCGGCGGATGTAGAAGAAATGTTTTGAGTATATCATGTGTAACTTGACTATTATTGCTTCGAAAATTGATCGAATATTTCCATACCACTGATTAAAGAAAAAATATTAAATTACACATAGATCATGACAGTAATAAAATATAATAATCATGTTTGCGTTTGAGAAGGTTTATTCACAGAGCGATACACATTCTCAGATAGATTGTTTTCATTCAAATGCTCTACAGGAATTTTAATTTTTTCTTTAGTTTGAATGAGAATCTGTTTGAAACTTCTCTGAAAAAATAACGCATTTGTATTAGAAAAGTAACAATAGTACCAAGCATCTGAATAGGAAAAACTACATTGACTTTATTTCTAGTTCTGAACAGTAGAATAAGCGTACATACGATATGTGATCCATCGATCTCTTTATCGTCAGCTTGCACTTCTTTTCATAATGCTTCAAATTATATTGACCTAGGGATATTCGACTGCTATTAATACAGAACCGAGAGAAGAAGAACCATGGATCTATTGCGAATATATAGTTTTGTCTGATTCCTACATGAGTTTCAGATTGATTCGTTTTTTGTCTTAGATTCTCAAAAATCCGAGATCAACTCAGATCGACTTACAAATCGCAATTCTCCTTTTTAAGTAAATTTCGATTAAAGAAATATAGAGAACTATAGCTCTTTTGTGTTTGAAAAGAGGCAATGAATGAGCATCGAATCATGCATTACTGATTGTCTTTAGGAAGACTTTGATGATCTCTGATCATATTTTTTCGAAATCAACGTAGTCTGCAAGTTCATTCCAGTGATTATTCAATTAGCAGAGGTTGATTAGAACAAAACTAAAATTTGTACAAAACTCCAATGCGTTTTCTCAGAGGGCGAGAACAAGAGCACTTCAGTTTATTATTGTTCGAATTTGTTCAAATCTAACTAGAATGAAATCTAAGATAGATGAATAATGTTGTATAACTTACATTTAATCAGTTCCTCAACAAATGGAGTTATGTATCCGACTGTTCCACTGTTGAATTCAAACAATTGAGCAACTTCTGTACGAAATCGATCGAAATAACCGAACGCTTGATAAAAACCTAGCAGTTCATATTTGGTATAATTCTCCGGTAGCGGTATTTTGAATAAATCTTCAAACAATGTGCATGCACTATATCGTCGAAAAAGATCAGTTCGATTTTCAAATGCTGCCGGATTTTTCACTAGTTTCACTGGAGTTTGATTTAAATTGACTGTGAATGTAGATCGTAAGTCGAAAATAATCCATGGATGTACATAAAGGTGACATGCATGAAGACGAGCCAAGCCATAGGCACTAGCAAACAAGAACATTCGATTACCAATGGCTCCATCGGAAAAACGAATTCCAAAAATACATGAAGTGGGTAGTAGAGAATCATTGAGCTCAGGATCTGTCTTGTTTTCAGCTAATGCTATAGCCACAGATGAACGTGCATGTCGAGATAAACCCGATGAAAATACTGAAGATGACACAAAGAGTGCATTCGATTTACGAAATGCATATAACAATTGATAGAAACCTATTAATAGAACGAGAATACCAACCATCATGATACTGCGTCGAATGACTGGCTGCCATGTTCGAAGATGATGAAAGTCGATTATATCATGTGCAATGTGAGTGATTCTATTCTTGATGAAACTCTCAGAAGATGAGAGAAGTTCTAACAGTCGGTCCATTGTTATTGATAATTGACGCTTATGCCGGGATATAATTTTTTTTATATTAGTGGTTGTAAAAATGTTTCTTCGCACGGTTCAGAATGTTGTTAACGATTTCTTTTTCATTTTTCATTTTCTTTCTTTTCTTCAAATGTAAATTCAGCTACCTAAAATCAATCACAAGTCTGTTCTTTTTCGTCTTCTGTTCTTCTATACTGTGAATCGAGTAATAGCATTCTTTTGAAAGATGAAGACTGTCACATGCTGCATGACAAACATGTGCTGTTATTTTGAAGAACCATCAACTCGAGCTTTTCATACGACTATAATATAGACGTGCAGTTCATTTTGAAGAACTTTGCGATCAATCAGAAATTCGGCATTGATTTTGTCAGAGGCTGCAAGTGAGAGTACTTTGTTTGACGCCCAGAATAAAAGGAACAAAATCTTTATGAACAGCTAATTGATCTGATGGCAATGCTCCATGATGTAAACGAATTAGTTCAAGTAATCTTTCTTTATTGATACTATTATCCTATTGGTAATTGTCGTTTTTCAATTCGATAGCATTGCCATAATCTAATATCTTCTAATAACTGTTCATCCATTATTTCTATTGCATGACTTATCATTATGCATTGTTGAGGTTTGAGATATGCCAAGTACAGTATGAAAATGAGATTTAATGTATGATTGTATATGTTATGGTAATGTTGAATGTGCTGATGTTGCTACTTCAAGAGAACATTGAATAGTTTAAAAACTTTTATTAGTTGCTTATTCAATTGGAGAATATGTAAGAGTTTCACGATATGAGTGATGTCGAAAAGAGTGCTATAATTAATTTGATTTTAAGTATAGAATTTAATGATTGACGTGTAGATGGTTCAAAATTAGTTGATATTGTTGATGATGATGATGATAATAATTGAGATAACGAAATAAAAGATAGTATGGATGAAACTTGAAAAGTAGGATTTAATAATTATTTTACAATTTTATCAAAATAATCTTTATTAACTAGTATGTGATAAATTGAAAGTTTCTAAAACAAAAACAAGTTTAGCAAAACATAAATTAAATGTCAATTATATGATATAGAAGTTTTTTTACAGCTATTTTTCAAGAATAATTGATCACCAGTAAAACGATCGATCTTATTCTCTTCTGTATGTTGAGCAGAAATTTTCATTTTTATTGATACTCTAGTTTTTTTTTGCCTTTTTGGGTATTCATTTTCTTCTTTTGTTTTTCTTTATTTAACATTATTATTCCATTGACTTAACAGTACATTTTCACCCACACCTGCATGTCTATCCATTATCCTTAATATCTTGAATAAAATATTTTTCTATCGCAAATGCTTTTCAATGGCTTTTTTTTCTTTGATCAAGAAGTCTCGAAAAAGAATAAGGTGTATGCTGTCCTCGGTTGCTATGGAGGATGAGAGAGTCCACGAAAAATAGTCGAAAACTTCTTAATTAAAAAGAAGAAAAAACAATCTCTCAATAAGAGTGGCAACATTGTAAACAATAAATTAATATTAGTATATAATCTGTCGCTG